TGTCACTCAACGTTTGCCCGTAATCAACAATTTGGTAGAAAAGGCTTTATATATTTTTGAAGATTATTGTATTTCACCTACGTGTGAAATATGATCACTTCGACTAGCAAGGACTTCCTGGCACGTAGGCTGAAAGCTTAAAATCAATGCTGATAAGTTCTTGTAGTATCCTCGACCAGTTCCCTAAAAGAGCTGTTTCAGAATAAATTTAATGTTGTGACACTTGCCGGAATGCGACGAGTCTTCCAAAAGCATTCAATGCATACTCAATGAGATTGAAGTTTGATAAGCGGGTAGACCACTATATTCTGTTAATCCCCCATCTTCAAAGAACATTCTGACAAGTTTAGCATAGTGGAATAGTAGGACTAACCTCCTAAAATACATAGTAGTAATGGTACTATTCCAGATGATGTAGAAGGTAGTACATTAGCCAGTGCTTATTTCTGCTCATACTAAACTTATACCTTCATATTTGTCATATTCCTATATGGAAATGGGGGCAAGATCTAATTTCTTATTATTTTGTGCAGGGTGAAGGACGACTCATTCTAAGAAAACAGGAGATTTTTACACATGTCATTGGACCACTGGACGTGTTCTTGGCAGCACTGCAAGCGATCTGTTTTGTCCTTTTCTACGAACAGAAACTATTTTCTTAAATCATGTTTGTTTTTAACAGCAACGTATTACTTTATTCATCACCTTTCATGTATTTCTGTTAGATGGAAAACAAGACAGTATAAGGTTCTCATTCCTTTTCAAATTGATCAGATATGATTTTTTTTTTTACAAAATGTTTGACCAATACATTTCAGAAGTTTATTCTATTCTAAAATTGAAATTATGCTTTAATATATGTTAACGTGTCTGCGATCAGAGTAGAAATACCCTATAACACTTTTTTTGTTTTACATTAACTATTTCATGGAAGGCATAGGTTTTACTCTAGCATAGCTTACTGTAGACTTCTTTGCTCTAGGCCAAAAACGTAGTGTTTATGTGTTAAATTTATGTTGGTCTACAGCAATTATTACAATTGGGGAAAAAAAATTATATCTTCGTGAAAAGGAAGCAGTATCCATGTGTCAGTTTTAACTTACCATTATATAATTCCAGTTTATTCATAGTGTGATTGGTAAACTGTTGTTAATTATCCGAACAACTATAATACAATATGTCCGGTAGTTCTTTCCTTTATGTCTTAGATCACGCAGAATTGTAAACTTCCAGTTCGAAACTATCTATTTATATAAATATTTAGGGAAAAGAAAGAAAAGGAAAATTAACATAGAGTTAAAAGGAAATATCTGAGGAGATAGCAAAACACGATTAATAGACGAAACAGACCAAAAGAAAGAAAAAAGAATGAAAGTGAAAAAAAGAGAAATTAGACAAATTGGAGAAAATAGTGTTAGGTATGTTAAGTATCTATAGACCGGATGGAGTATAGAAGTATTCTCAAGTATTTTACTTTCAATCTTATCTCAAAACATGTGCTATACATTCCACTTATGGATAAAACAAGATATCCTTCTCCGTCGTTGGTATTTAATGCAAGACGAAAGCTTTTTTGATTGTCCATTCAATTGGCTCAACGTTTAGATATAACACCAGTGAGACGCCGGTTGCTGCAAGGCATAATATGTGACGAATAGTTCAATAAAGCTTCGAAATAAGAGCATCATTTGTCTATCAGTGACACGATATTGTAATAAGTATTAGATAAGTACCTATCATTTATTCTTCTCCCCTCTTCCCACCAACTACTTGCTGTGACACTCTAGCCGTTACAAGATATTGCGTTAGTGATGAATAACATCTCAGCCCAGAGGTGAAAGCGCAGAATGTGTCTGTAGAAGGTGGTTTCTTGAAAAATAAAAGATGTCACTAGGCGTTTACTAAATATAAAAAAGTTTGACAGCGGTATATTATTTGTCATCAGGGATCTACAGTCACTTTTCTTTCTTAAACTTTGCACACCTACTGAATTAAGACTATCGACTTCGGAAAGACTGGCATGATGTTCGCATTAATAAAAATGTTCGAGTGATTTATCACCAGATTTTCTAAGGGTAAACTTACACCTTCACGGCCCTTGATTGTTCTCGCAGCTCTAAAATGTTAATTTGTTCTGTAGAGTATCGGAACTGAGGTTTTCTGTAGAAAGCCAAAGTCATGATTTTGTAGTAAACCGGAATGAACACATTCAACAGCGGGTATGGACGATCTACTCTGTTTATATGTTTTTGTTTGTTTTTGAATTTCGCGCAAAGCTACACGAT